ATGATTTAACTGCCTGCTCTTTTTTGGACACAAACAAAAAGTAAATTCATTCAGATGGGTACAAACTTAAATGTCATAAATTCAAAAATTTTTGCATCTGTTTGGAAGAATATGGTTGGAGAGCGCGCGGTATCTTATGTACTGGCCCATGAAAGGAAGAATTTTCACTTCAGGGTTCGGGCACAACGGTGGGCTCACGCTGTAAATCCCAGACTTTGGGAGGCCCGAGATGGCGTGGATCACCGTGGAACGGTCAGGGTTTGAGACCAGCTCTGGCCAACATGGAGCTGGTGAAACCCTACATCATCTAACTGAAAAGACACAAAATTGACTGGCGCCGTGGCTTCACCTCCTGTAGAGTCCAGTTACTTTGGGAGGCCCAAGGAGACCGGGCAGAGTGGGTGAGATCACAAAGTTCAAAGAGATTTGAGCACGCCATCCTGGCCAAGATTATTTGGTTTGAAAACTCATCTCTACTAAAAATACAAATAGATCCCTGGCGTGGTGGGAAGGATAGGTGGTGGGCACTGTTAGTGCCATACTACTTGGGAGCTGAGGGCCAGGGAATGCTTGAACCACAGGAGAAGACCGTTGCGTAGGTGAACGGATTGCACGATCTGCACACCAAGGAGCTGTCGATAAGGAGCGAGGACTCGGATGCTAAAAACAAAAAATACCAAAAAAATTAGCTGGGTGTAGTGGCATGCACCTGTAATCTCAGCTATTTGGGAGACTGAGGCAGGAGAATCACTTGAACCCGGGAGGCGGAGGTTGCAGTGAGTCAAGATTGTGCCATTGTGCCACTGCACTCTAGCCTGGGCAACAGTGAGAGACTCTATCTCAAAAATAAATAAATAAATAAATAATAAAAAAAAAGATTTTTCTAATAAGGCATAACATTGGAGTATTTTTTTTTCTTTTTTCTTCTTCTTTTTTTTTTTTTTTTCTTTTTTTGAGACGGATTCTAGCTCTGTTGCCCAGGCTGGAGTGCACTGGCGCGATCTTGGCTCATTGCAAACTCCGCCTCCTGGGTTCACGCCATTCAACATTGGAGTATTTTTCCGATATACTTGATATCCTTAAAACAGGACCTCTGTTCATCAAAATAGGCTGAAAGACAACGAAAGCCAAGCCACAAACTGAGAGAAGATATTGTCATACATATACATGAAAAGAAGATTTGTATCCTGAATATATAAAATCCTGTAAATTGGTCTGAAAAACAACCAAATAGAAAACAATGTTCAACAGACATTTTGTGGAATAGAAAACATAAGTTCCCAATATATCATCTGAAAAATGCAAACTACCATTAATAGTCAAGAAAATGAAAGTCAAAACCATAATGGGATAACATTTTATAACCATACAACTGAAAAATGCTTAAAGTCTGGCATGAACAGGTATTGGCAGGAATATAAACCACCTGAATCTTTTATTCACTGTGAGTGGGTACAATCTCCCTCAAAAACTGCTTGTGATTATCTGGCAATGTTGAAGATATACATCCTATTAATGAAGAACTCCCTTTTTGTGTATATATATACCTTAGAGCTTCCTAGGGCTGTGTACTGATAACTGCGTACTCTGAAAGGTATGAAAGTATTGTTTATCATAGCAAAAATACATGAAATAACTGTGAAAATAAATAAACTGCAGATGCATCCAGTAATGATGAATGTCAAAGCCATAACATTGATGAGAAAAGAAAATCATAGAATATCCTGTATTCAGTATAATTCTATTATGTTAAGTTCAAAAGCATTCAAACTAAATAATCAATATATTTTGAGATGGAGTCTTGCTTTGTCCCCCAGGATAGAGTGCAGTGGGAACATCCTGGCTCACTGCAACCTCCACCTCCCAGGTTCAGGTTATTTCCCAACCTTAGCCTCTCAAGTAGCTGGGACTACAGGTGAGCACCACCACGCCTGGCTAATTTTTGTATTTTTGTAGAGATGAGGTTTCACCATGTTGGCCAGGCTGGTCTCTCAAGTGATCTGCCTGTCTCAGCCTCCCAAAATGCTGGGATTACAGGTGTGAGTCACTGTGCCTGGCCAATAATATATTGTTCAGTGACGTACATATATGAATTTTGAAGTATATATAAATAGCGAGGAAATAACAAATACAAAATTCAACAAATAGATACTCTTGAGGAGTAAGCAGGATATTACAATCAATACAAGGCACACAGAGGGTTACAAAAATTTTGGTCAAGTTCTATTTCTTAAGCTGAGTGATGAGTGAATATGTGTTTGCTTATGTCTACTCTTTTGGTTGTAAATAGATATTGCATGTGTTTCATTTATATTCATGGTATATAAATTCGTGAAATGCTTCTAATAAATAGGAAGTTATAAGATGCATTTCAAAATGTTCAGCAGAAAATAGTGCGAACATGTTGTCCTGAATCATGTTGGAGGTTCTAAAGAAATATTCACAATGGTTCCGAGAAGCTCCTCAAACTTCATTTTTGCTTTTAGAGGGAAAATCACATATTTAGCCCTCCCAAACTGAGGCCAGAGACTGTCAAAATGTTAGTTGAGTAGCATTAAGAAAAGCATTGAAAGTAGAATACCTTTCCACTGTGATGGAAACCCACAAATTAGTATTTCTGTTTTTAGTGCAATATTATTTCTACTAATTAACAGATTTTTAATACACTTGTCATCACGGACAAATAATTTTGTGCTCATGTCGTCAAAGTCATTTACAATTCAGAACAAATTGACTTAGAAATAAAATGTGATTAATATTTTTATTTATTTTTGAGAAAAGTATTAATAATTTTCTAGTAGTATATCTTTCAAATGTGTCTAGCCATAATAAAAATAATTATATAACACTCAAAATAAATTAGGCATGGAGGGCGGAGGTGGAGGAGGTGTGAAAAGCCCTAGGCAGCGTCAGGGTTGTGTTTCTGCTCCTGTTCTATAGAGAGAGGAACACCCACCGCACGGGGCTGTTGCAGGGTCAGCCATAGCAAGCAGGCCACAGTGTTTGGATAAGACAGGCTTGTAAAAGTTGCCATGCAAGACCCCTAGGAAATAAGCCCGCTCAGTCCTTGGAGTTAAGTATCCTACAACATTCCAGCCAAGCAGTGACTTTGGGAATGGAGACGGGAGGCTGCCACAGCCATGGGGACCAACTGTGGGCTCGGGTGGGCGGTTAGGTTCTTCCTGTGCAAAGTGGTGTGGACCACCTCCCATACTGCAGGGTCCTGGGTCTGGAGATAAATGGGTGTGTGTGCGGGCTCTTTGTTCCTTCATTAAAATACAACCCATTGCCTTGCACCCAAAGGTCCCTTCACATCCCAGATCCCCAGGCCCCGTTCCCTCCCCTGTCCCCGTTCCCATCCCTCCTCTGACGGTATTTGGATTTTCATGAACAGATGCCCTTGCTGAGCTGCCAGTTCCTGAAAGGTCACCGAGAGCAGCGCCTGGCCCACCTGGTCCTGAGCTTCCTCACCATGGGTTATGTCTGGCAGGAAGGAGAGGCGCAGCCGGCAGAGGTGAGGGCCAGAGAGCTGCTTCTCCTGTTACCGGCAGGTTGACTGCGCCTGGAGAAACGTGCTCCCTGCTTGGTGCCACGCTGTTTTCCGGGAAAATGGGTGCTTTCTTCTTCTCAATGGGCATTAGTTTAAGCAAGGATGAAGGGTTCATTTATTATTATTTATTATTTATTTTTTTTTGAGACAGTCTCACTCTGTCACTCAGGCTGGAGAGCAGTGGGATTATCTTGGTTCACTGCAACCTCCCCTTCCAGGTTCAAGTAATTCTCCTGCCTCAGCCTTTGGAGTGGCTGGGACTACAGGCACCCAGCACCACGCCTGGCTAATTTTTGTATTTTTAGTAGAGATGGGTTTCACCATGTTGCCCAGGCTGGTCTCAAACTCTTGACCTCAGGTAATCTGCCTGCCTCGGCCTCCCAGAGTGCTGGGATTATAGGCGTGAGTCACTGCGCCCAACCTGAAGGGCCATTTAAATGAAGGAATTTTTTATTTTTTTTTCTGACTAAGAAGCTAATTTGTTTTTTAAACTGATAGCTATTTCTTCCTTTTATAAGCTTTTGTTTTTGTTTGTTTGTTTTTTGGCACCCTTTTCCAAGAATGTTTGAAGAGCTGCATGTGAAGGCAGATTGCTTTTTTGCTTTTAAACAGGGTCGCACTATGTTGCCCAGGCTGGAGTGCAATGGTGCAATCATAGCTCACTGCAGCCTCAACTCCTCCTGGGCTCAAACGACCCTCACATGAAGGGGTGGCCTGCCCCGCCACACCTGTGGGTGTTTCTCGTTAGGTGGAACGAGAGACTTGAGAAAAGAAATGAGACACAGAGACAAAGTATAGAGAAAGAGAAAGTGGGCCCAGGGGACTGGCGCTCAGCTTACAGAGGACCCACGCTGGCACCGGTCTCTGAGTTCCCTTAGTATTTATTGATAATTGTCTTTACCATCTTAAAGATAAGGGAGTGGCAGGACAATAGGATCATTGTAGGGAGGAAATCCGCAGTAAGACATGTGAACAAAAACCTCTGTGACATGAATAAGTTTAAAGGAAAATGCTGTGCCTTGAGATGCATATGCAAACATCTCCATAAACCTTTTAGCATTATTTCAGCCTATCACATGGGGAGAAACCTTGGACAACACCTAGCTTTCCTAGGCAGAGGTCCCTGCGACCTTTGGCCGTGTAAGTGTCCCTGGGTAGTTGAAATTAAGAGAATGGTGATGACTTTTAACCAGCAAGCTGCCTTCAGGCACTTGTTTAACAAAGACACATCCTGTACAGCCCAAAATCCATTAAACCTTGAGTCACCACAGCACATGTCTCTTGCAAGGACAAGGTTGGGGGTAGGGTCACAGATTAACAGCATCTCAAATACAGAACAAAATAGAGTCTCTTATGTCTACTTCTTTCTATATAGACACAGTAACAGGCTGATCTCTCTTTCTTTTCCCCACACTCACACCTCAGCCTCCGGAGAAGCTGGGGCTAGCAGCACAGACCGCCACACCCAGCTAATCGTTAAAAATTTTTTGTGGAGATGAGGGTCTTGCTCTTTTGCCCAGGTTGCTCTTAAACTCCTGGCCTCAAGTGATCCTCCTGCCTTTGCCTCCCGTCCTGGGATTATAGGCGTGTGCCACAATGCTGGACCTGAAGACAGTCTCTGAGAATTCATAAAAACCTCACAGCATTTTGTACTCTTACGTATATAAATTATCCAGGTTGCTCTTCATAATCCTGTAAAGTAACGAGAGCCATACCAGGCCCATTTTACAACTGAAAAGCACAGACACTTATTTCCTAAATCAAGGTCAGACAGCATGTTAGTGGAAAAGCCAAGGCCAGAACCCAGATCTTCTGATTTTACTAGTGCAGCCTTCTTTCTCCAGGGGACATACTGACATTTACAACACTCATCTTCATTATTTTTTTTTTTCATACTGCTTTCTATCCAGTCAATTATTAGTCTGTCTTTTAATATTTCATCCAAATCTCTTCTGAATCATTGTATAACTTTGTACAGTTTCCATCCACAGTGTCAGTTACTATTGCTTGTCAGTTTTAAAAGTGTGCCTTTCCCAGAAATCAGGGAGTTACCCATGTCCTAGAACTCCACGGTGAAGAGAACAGCCTGTGCCCACTGTGTTTGCCTGATTGATCTTACCTCTTCTCTCTCAGGGAAGCAAAGGAGACTCAAGGAAGAGGAACAGTGTAGAGCCACGTCAGCCTTGTTATTTGTCAGTGTATATCTTCTTTTTTTTTGATACAGAGTTTCACTCTTGTCGCCCAGGCTAGACTGCAGTGGCATGATCTTGGCTCACTGCAACCTTGGCTTCCGGGTCCAAGGGATTCTCCGGCCTCAGCCTCCTGAGTAGCTGGGATTACAGGCACCTGCCATCATGGCCAGCTATTTTTGTGTTTTTTTTGTATGTTTAGTAGAGACAGAGTTTCACCATGTTGGCCAGGCTGATCTCGAACTCCTGACCTCAGGTGATCCACCCACCTGGGTCTCCCAGAGTGCTGCGATTACAGGCATGGGCCCCAGCACCCGGCCAGTGCATTACATTTTCAAAACTGTGTGTCTGATGCTGAAAAGTTTGAAGTCTAGGCACGTCCCAGTGGGTCCTCTTTAGACCATCCCCTCTGCAAATCATTATCCTAAATTGGGGTTTGGGGGAGAGAAGAGCGATAGGGGAAGGAAGTCTTCTCCTCCCAGCTGTGCCCTGGTAGTTCCAGGGAATCGGGAGGCTCCCCATACCCACCATCTCGCCTCAGATCACCTTTCACTTTCTTTGTTTCTCCTCCCTTGACTTTTCAGCTCAGAAAGTACCTAGCTTTCCAGTGCATTCTGAGGAAAGTGTACCCGAGGTTCACACTGCAAAACCTTTTAAAGCTCTTCATTGTTTTCCACCCAAGAAAAAATTCAAGGGAAAAATGAAGGCAAAAGCAGGGCATTCTTAATGGATATTTTATCTTACGGAGAAATGAAAATGGAAAAGGAAGAGGGGGCACAAGGATGGGGTTTGAATCTAGACTCGTTCAGCCTTTACCTCCGATAGAGAACCCCATGCAGCTTTTCTGGACTTGTGACTGATAAAGCGCTGTGGAGGGCTCCTTGGATAAAAAAGGGTGAAGGAATCTGTCCTGCGGTGGCTTACTTGAAGGTGTTACTGGGTTTGACTAATGAATGAGAAAGAGTCAGTTTCCCCACGGGCTGAGGTGGTCTATCCTCATGCTTTTCTAGGGCGCTGGGGTCTCCCTGGCTCATACCCTGGTGCACACACAAGTTTCTGCATCTAGCTGTATATCTCTATCAGTCAATCAGTCAATAAATCTATCATCTATCTATCGCTCTATCATCATCTTTCTATCATCTGTCTATGTATCTGTCATCTCTCTCTCTCTCTCTCTCTCTCTCTCTCTATATATATATATATATTTCTATCCATCTACCTACTTACTCATCTATCAAAACTTTTTTCTATTGGTAATCTCCTCTGGCCCCAGTTTATGTTTAATTGTTTTGGTAGTGCCTTTCTTTGCACAGTCAGTTTGCAGAGGTTATTTTATATTCTATATGTACGTGTATGGTCCAATGTTGTAATTTTCACGTATATTGTACCGTGTACTCAAAAGCGGTATTTCCACTGGGTCATTAACAGAAAGATATGTGTGAGGCATATGAATATGCATCACTCAGGTAATTCAAACTTGGTTCCCAGGTCATTTGTGTACCACAGGATTGCTGGAATAAAAGGCAACCATGATTATTTCCTCTGCTGCAAGCTTTCTAGAATATGCTATTTGTCTTGATTTATTTCTGAAAGGTCCTGCCAAGGAATCTTGCCCTTCCATTTGTCGAAGTCTCCAGGAACTTGGGGCTCCCTCCTATCCTGGTCCACTCAGACTTGGTGCTGACAAACTGGACTAAAAAAGATCCAGACGGGTAAGGAAGGAAGAGAATGTTTTGAATTTCCACAGACTGAAACTCTGCCGGAGGCAGTCTTGTGACTTTTTTCCCACAGGAAACGCCCAGGCTTTTTTTATAATTAGGGATGGTCATATTTATGGTCTGCTTTATGGTTCCAAAGAAAGGGTGAGGTTGACCAAAAATTCAAAAATCACAGGCCCCAGAAGTTTCCTCTCAGTCCGCTCTGAACACAATGGCTCAGGCCATTTTGTCTTGTTTGTTTCCACATCATGTGTGAATTTTTCAACCTGACCATCAAGCTCCTGCAAAATCAGCTTTTATTTGTTCTTTCTCTTCAAACTGTTTATTCTCTAAGATGCTCTCCATTCATATCAGGTTAGAACCAGTTGGCTTTGATAAGTAATCATTATATAGTGATGAGAAGAGAATGATTATGGATGAATTCAGAGCAGATGCTCCAGGTGGGTTGGATTGAGAATTTGATTAATAATTCCATCTATTCCAGCAAAGTCACATCATTCCTTTGACAGTTGGGCTGCGAATAAGGACATTTGTCTATAGAAGGAATAGCATGAGTTTTTAACAAACAAGAAATTCAACAAATAGAATTGGACGCATCATCTAAAATGTTAAATTTTCCTTTCACCTTAATTTTCGCAGCCAAATTTATTTCAGCTCCGGATAAAAAGACAGCAGTTTCTTTTGTGGCTGGTTACAACAGCTGAAGATTCACTGAAGTTTGATGTGAGGAAGAACTTCCTCAGCCATGAGATTGCCAGAGGCGATGATGGGAATCTACTTAAAAGGGTTATGTATTTAGTAGACAGCCTAGATTTTAAGACTAATTTATGTGCCCTGACTGGGTGCAGTGGTTCATGCCTGTAACCCCAGCACTTTGGGAGGCTGAGGCAGGTGGATCACCTGAGGTCAGGAGTTCAAGACCTGCCTGTCCAACATGGTGAAATCCTGTCTCTACTAAAAATACAAAAAAATTAGCCAGGCATGGTGGTGCATGCCTGTAATGCCAGCTACTTGGGAGGCTGAGGCAGGAGAATCGCTTGAACCAAGGAAGTGGAGGTTGCAGTGAGCAAGATCATGCCATTGCACTCCAGCCTGGGTGACAAACATTAAATCACAAAAAAAAAAAAAAAAAAAAAAAAAAAAATTATGTGCCCCATTGGAAGAAGTGAGATTGGGCCATCTCATGTCTCTCAGGAGCTCTGAGCCCTGGAGGTTTATGTTTTCTGCAGTTATGAATTGTGATCCTTGATTAATTATGCTTTAATAATAAAATGGGTGACTACTGAAAACTGCTGAATCTGGGTAAGAATTTGGATAAAAAATAATAAATATATGTGCATAATTTATTCTGTTCAAGGTACTGAATAGTGAATTAGCTGGATTTATTACTCAAAAAGAAAAACACAATAAGAGAAGGTTGAAGGGAAAAATGACTGTACTAGAATGGTAGTCAAAAATGCAACAACAGACAGGTACAGAGGCTCACACCTGTAATCCCAGCACTTTGGGAGGCCCAGGTGGGCAGGTCACCTGAAGTCAGGAGTTCTAGACCAGCCTGGCCAACATGGTGAAACCCTGTCTCTACTAAAAATACAAAAATTAGCCAGGTGTGGCAGTGGGTGCCTGCAATTCCAGCTACTCAGGAGGCTGAGGCAGGAGAATCACTTGAACCCGGGAGGCAGAGGTTGCAGTGAGCCAAGATTCCACCACTGCACTCCAGCCTGGGCGACAGAGTGAGATCCTGTCTCAAAAACAAACACTATAAAACAACAACAAAAAAGCTATTAATAGTTTCCTAGGAAGGAAGAGTGAAGGGCTAGTTTAATTCCAGAGATGCGGACACAGTCCTGGGTCTCACCAGTTATTCTGTTTGGTAATTATCTTTTGAAACCTTTTAATATGCCTAGCACAGAGCTAAGTGCTATGAAGAAATGAAAGAAATAGAAGCAAAGTACTCCCCATGTGGTTAAATAACAAGACACTATATGACAAATGTCAAAGAGTGACTCAAACAATATGTCCTTTAGAATTTCAGAGAAATGGCATCAATGCAGGCTTTACAAATCAGCAAAAATCTTGGTGAGGGGGCAGAACTTGATGTAAGGCAAATTCTAAAAGTTGAGTAGGAATCAACTAGCTAGAACAAAATGTGGGGTTGTGGTAAATACAAAAATGTAAGAGGAGTGAAATAACTCATTTATTTATTTATTTATTTATTTTCAGAGACAGAGTCTCACTCTGTCTCCCAGGCTGGAGTGCAGTGGCATGATCTCGGCTTATTGCAACCCCTGCCTCCTGGGTTCAAGCATTTCTCCTGCTTCAGCCTCCTGAGTAGCTGGGATTGCAGGCACTCATTACCACACCCAACTAATTTTTTTTATTGCTTTTTCTTGAGGTGGAGTCTCACTCTGTTGCCCAGGCTGGAGTGCAGTGGCGCCATCTCAGCTCACTGCAAGCTCTGCTTCCTGGGTTCACGCCATTCTCCTGCCTCAGCCTCCCGAGTAGCTGGGACTACAGGTGCCCACCACCATGCCCAGCTAATTTTTTGTATTTTTAGTAGAGATGGGGTTTCACCATGTTAGCCAGGATGGTCTTGATCTCCTGACCTCGTGATCCGCCCACCTCGGCCTCCCAAAGTGCTGAGATTACAGGCGTGAGCCACCGAGCCTTGCCTAATTTTTGCATTTTTAGTAGAGACAGGGTTTCCCCACATTGGCCAGGCTGGTCTCAAACTCCTGACGTCATGATCCGCCCGCCTTGGCCTCCCAAAGTGCTAGGATAACAGGCATGAGCCACTGTGCGCAGCCTAATAATTTATTAAGATGGCCATAGGCCAAATATTCTGGGGCTGGAATGTGAGTGGGATGTCACTCACCCTTTGTCACACAGCATTCCATGGTTCAGCCACAACCTGCGGAATTCAAAGCAAGTGTGGATGTGTGTGTGTCTGCAGTGCCTTGCAAACAAGTGTGCATGCCTGTGGACATGTGACCCTAGAAGTTATTAATACATCTGGTTTACAAACTTAATTGTTCTTTTCTTTTATTTTTTTCTCTTGGTGGTCATCAATAACTGAAATTGGGCTAGATTCCTGGAAATTGGGTAAGTTCTCAGAAATCATTTATGCACTTTAGAATCTATGCCAAATTTAAAATCTTACAATAAAACAAAGAACAAAGCATGCTAAATTAGATGTATAGTATAATATCAACCATATAAAATGCATAAAAAGTATACTAGAAGGAAATGTGCCTGAAGTTCACAATCTAAAAATTAACAGTGATTGCCTCTTCCTTGTATAGATTAGGGAATTTTTTTTTACTGTATTTTCCAGTCTGTACATAATAAAACAAGTAACATGCAATGCAAAGAAAACAAAATTAAACTTTACCAAATTTCAGTAACTCTTTGAAGTTTTTTTTTTTTTTTTTTTTTTGAGACTTAGTCTTATTCTGTTGCAGTGGCATGATCTCGGCTCACTGCAACCCCTGCCTCTGGGTTCAAGGGATTCTCCTGCCTCAGCCTCCTGAGTACCTGAGATTACAGGCACCCCCCACCACACCTGGCTAATTTTTGTATTTTTAGTAGAGACAGGGTTTCACTATGTTGGCCAGGCTGGTCTTGAACTCCTGACCTCAGGTGATCCACTCACCTCGCCTCCCAAAGTGCTGGGATTGCAGGCGTGAGCTACTGCACCCAGTTGAAGTTTAACGGTTTGAAAAAAATATTTCTCATCTCACTATATCTTCTATGGGAGGCCAGATTGCAGATTGGCTACAGAAAAATCCCTTCAAAAGACCCTGTTATTACGTAGACTGGAGGTCACGGGGCAGGTCTGATCCACACATCCTTAGGCTCTGCTTCTCCTGGAAAACAAAAATAGCCTCTGATCCAGTGTTGCTTCTCCCATCACCAAACCTCAGCTTCTATTGCCAAACCCATCAAATAAGAGTGTCCAGTAGAAAAACTGGGCAGATGGGGGCACAGAATGTGAAGACATCATTTCCCAAGCTAAAGTTGCTGCCGGAACAATGTAAGTCTTGACTTTGACTTGGTTTGGTTTGGTTTGACATTGGTTTTGTTTTTCATCTTTGTCTCATGCTTAAAATGTGAAGGGCAAATATGATCCATAGAGTTAAGGTTTTAGGTTTTGTAGATGTTTTACTCCATTTAAATGACAGCAGGTCATTTCGAAATGATCCCTCTGTAACAGCCTTCCAGATCCCATTTGATTGCACAACATTGAGATAGATAGATTAGATAGATAGATAGATAGATAGATAGATAGATAGATAGATAGAGTTTGGCTCTGTGTTCCCACCCATATCTCATGTCAAATTGTCATCCCCACATGTCAGGAGAGGGACCCAGTGGGAGATGACAGGATCATGGGGGTGGATTTCCCCAGTGCTATTCTCATGATAGTGAGTGAGTTCTCACAAGATCTCATTATTATTATTATTATTGCAACAGAGTCTCACTCTGTCACCGCAGCTGGAGTGCAGTGGCATGATCTCAGCTCATTGCAACCTCTGCCTCCCGGGTTCAAGTGATTCTCTTGCCTCAGCCTCCTGCGTAGCTTGGATTACAGGCATGTCCCACCACGCCTGGCTAATTTTTGTGTTTTTAGTAGAGACAGGGTTTCACCATGTTGGCCAGGCTGATCTCGCACTCCTGACCTCAGGTAATCCGCCTACCTTTGTCTCCCAAAGTGCTGGAATTATAGGATTGAGCCACTGTGCCCAGCCAGTTCTCACAAGATCTGATGGTTTAAAAGTGTGGCACTTCCCCCCACCTCCTGCCACCATGTAAGATGCATGCTTCCCCTTCCACCATGATTGAAAAGTTTCGTGAGGCCTCGTAGCCACACTTGCTGGTAAGCCTAAGGATCTCTGAGTCAATTACACCTTGTTTGTTTATAAATTACCCAGTCTCAGGTAGTTGTTTATAGCAGTGTGAGAACAAACTAATACACGTATAAACGGATTAGAGGCAGCACTGGCCTGAGTTGTGAAACTCTTCCCAGCCTGGTCCTGTGATTAGCTGGCTATATGACCTTGGGCAAGCTGCTTTGCTTCTGTGGGCCATGGCTTCATACCTGTAGAAAAAAGAGCATGGACTTAGCTGTTGCCTGGGTCTCTCTAGCTCCAAGACTCTGGCTTTTGTTAGGAATGATGTTGATGGGCCATAGAACTGGTCCTGTGGAGAATCAGCTACATCTCTTACTAGGAACTTCTCATTCAGCCAGTTATTCCACTGCGGAGATAGTCCAGGACCATCAGGGCCATGCTAGACATTGGAAGGCTGCCTGTCAGGTGAACGTGAGATTGAACTTATCTGTTCTCTTTCCTCCCTGAACATTGCTGAAGGTATATGCCCATCTTCAGGACTGTCTTATGGAGAGGAAAAAGTTGTGCAGTGATTCCACCCTGCAGTTACCTAACTTGGCAGGGATCTCTGGGCAGTGAGTACTCACAGTACAGTCTCCACATCCCTAACCATGTGGTCCTCTCCTTCCCAAGGAACCTGGAGACCATCATCTCATTTCCTGGGGGAGAGAGCCTGCATGGCTTTATACTGGTGACCGCTTTGGTGGAGAAAGCAGCAGTGCCCGGGATAAAGGTACCTTCTCACCTTATAGCACCTTTTCTTTTTAAATGAGCTTGAGCTTCCCATTCTGCCTTTCCTGCAGTGGATTTCTCAATACGAATGAACATAGACCTTGTCCTGCTTAGTTCAAGTCTGAGAGAAGAGATCTAAGCTCTAGGCCACCGTATTTGCTCCCTTTTCTCAATTCCCATAAAATTTGGAATGGACCTTTTCTCCATTCAACAAATAGGCATTGTTTTGGGCAATGGGAAATTGGATCTAACAAGACAGACATTTTCCCAGCCCTGACAGAAGCTCATGATGGATACAGTGGTTGAAGATGGATTAACGTGGATTACGGCTGTGAGCCACTGCACTGGGCCTCAAACTGGAAATTCTTCAGGAGTCAGACAGGTACCAGGAAGGCTGGATAGAAGACAAAAGACAGTGATGCAGCCTGTGATCAGCTACAGCGTTAATGCCTTGCCTAAAAATATTTCAGTTAGATTTTTGCCTTCCCTCGCTACCTCCCCCAACTGCTTTTTTTGTTTGTTTGTTTTTTGAGATGGAGTCTTGCTCTGTCCTCAGGCCAGAGTGCAATGGCGTGGTCTCAGCTCACTGCAACCTCCGCCTCCCAGGTTCAAGCGAATCTCCTCCCTCAGCCTCCTAAGTAGGGCATGCCACCATGCCTGGCTAATTTTTGTATTTTTAGTAGAGACAGGGTTTCACCATGTTGATCAGGCTGGCCTCAAACTCCTGACCTTGTGATCCACTTGCCTCGACCTCCCAAAGTGCTGGGATTACAGGTGTGAGCCACTGTGCTCAGCCAACACTACCTCCCTTGATAAGCATATGTTGAGCACCTACTGTGTCCTCAATGGGGTGAGCCATTGCTGGTATATTATAGCACTTTCTTTCTCTCTCAATAGTTAAACTCCATGGTTACTTTAGTTTTCATCCATGTGTTTAGTGCATTGGAAGACACAGAATCAAATATCGGCCTTCTAAGTATAGTTCAGATGAAGTAGAGACTCAAGGAAGACAAGGAAGTCTTCCCAGCAGAGGGGGTTCTAGAGCTGGGGGCTCTGTAGAATCTGTCTGTGTATTAGTCCATTTTCACGCTGCTATAAACATACTACCTGAAACTGGGTAATTTATAAAGGAAAGAGGTTTAATTCACTCATAGTTCTGCATGGATGGGGAGGCCTCAGGAAACTTACAACCATGGAGGAACGTGAAGGGGAAGCAAGAACCTCTTTACAAGGCAGCAGGAGAGAGAGAGAGCAAAGAGGGGAGCTGCCAAACACTTTTTTACCATCAGATTTTGTGAAAACTCTCCCTCGTATCATGAAAAGAGTATGGGAGAACCCTCCCCCATAATTCAATCGCCTTCCACCAGGTCCCTCCATTAGCATGTGGGGATTACAATCCAAGATGAGATTTGGGTGGGGACACAGAGTCAAACCATTTAAATCTGACTTTATATGAGACTTTTTCAGAGCAAGGATGCCCCAGTTGGAAATGCAGAAGTAGAACTGATCATAATATGTGACAAATCTGAGAGACGAAAGGAGTAAAATAATAGTACTCAGGCCCTTGGGAGGTGCAAGAAGTAACTGTCAGCTGAAATTCCTGAAACACAAAACTAGGGGTCTGTCTGGGAGGTCCCCAGGGAGCCTCTGGCTGTCAGGCTGACACCATAGTGGATCTAGCTTAGGATGTTCCCAGGAAGTTCTGACAAACTGTCCAGTCCTCCCCTGGGTTCCCACAGTATGAAGCTTACCCTGCCCGCATGGACTTTAAGGAAGTGCTAATAAGTTGTATACATGAATCTCATTCCCAGGCTCTTGTTCAGGCTGTGAATGCTATCTTGCAGCCCAACCAGGAGGCCCTGCTCCAAGCCCTACAGCGACTGAGACTGTCTATTCAGGACATCACCAAAACCTTAGGACAGATGCACAGTAAGATGCCTCCCATGCTCCTGCACAATCCCCCAGGGGTCCTGGGCTCTGCTTGGGGGAAGGGGACCTGGAGACCAGGCATGTCCTGAAGGGGTGACGATACATTCATCCACCAGATGACGCTGATGGACGATCTTTCTTTTAGGTTAAGCGCATGTTATCTTGGAGAACTATTGTCACAGCTTTGTACTCTCCCTCTCCTTTATATTCTCCCGTGATTAAGATGGTTTCCCTTCTGCAGTGGCCAGACATTTCTTAGGCATGTTGAGGTCTTGCCTGAAGCTTGAGAGGAGGGGATGGGATGCACAGCAATGTTGGTCGCACATGCCCTATCCCACAGTGTTAGGTACTGCAGAGCAGTTTGTCTACACTCTCTAATGCCCCTTTTATTCTAACCCCCTCTGTTGGTTCCTGAGATGTCTGACCTTGGTTTTAAGCCTTGTCTAATGGAAGGCCTGTGCTCTCTTTCTGTAGCTAGGGCAGGCTGAATCGTCAAAAGCAGGAAAGTTGTCAGAATCAAAATGGAGTTACTTGTGTTGAAGAAAAAATTTTAAACCTTGACAAATAGAGCTGGGGAAGGCAATAAAGAGATAAATGTGTAATGCTTGATAACAAAATCTTTTCCAAAGGACTGAAAAAGTCACCACCTTGCACAAAGGCCATTACACCTTACACACACCCAAAAATACTTACACAATGACATCTGCCCAGCAACTGCCTTTCCAGCGTTGGCCTTGTGCCACCCTTTTATTGATGCCCATAGCCAAGGGTAATGATCTCAAAACATTTATGTAATTGTCCTCATTTTTCCTTTAAAAACGTGTGTCTTCCTTTATCTCTCTGAATACCCACATGGTTTATTACGGCACACGTATTCCCATTGCAATGCCCTATACCAGAATACATATCCTGTTCCATTAGGGAGCCTCTCCCTGTTACTCTGGTTAACACAGGCATGGTCAGTTACGGGGCCCAACCTTCCTGGACTGGTTACAAATCTTATTCTGGTTATTGCATTCAGTTTCCAAAATGTGGCAGGCTCTTCAAATTCTTCTCTCAGAGCAATCTGAAGAATGTATTAGGAGGATGTGAGAGAGGGGTGTGATTTCCTAACAAGAGAAAACCAGAGTCTAAGTATCGTTTTCCCTGAATCCTGCTGAAATCCCTGAAAGAAAGATTCTGGGAAAAGAGAGTGTTTATAGGAAGCAGGATAGCAGGGAGGAAGAAAGACGCTAGGTGGTGCCGAGTTTTATTATCCTGTATTTAAAAAGTAAATATAATTTGTCATCCCAGCCTCTCAGTACTAGCAGAAATCTATGTGAAGTCATAGGATTAGGTATTATTTCCATTCCACTTCCTGGTTTTATATTTTATATTTTTATTTTCTCTATTTCCTTGAATTTTCATTTTAAAGCCCTCATGATCACATCAGTAGGCCTTCCGCCAAACCAGTCCCCTAAGTTGTATGGTGGCTTTGCCAAGCTGAAATGAGATGAGATGTGTTTGTTTTAGCTTTGCCAAGAAAGCCTGATATCCATCACTCAGGATATTAAGGCTATTAGGGAGATAGTGCAGGTGTCTTCAGATCACATGGATGAGCACAAGGAAGTCATTTTGGAAGATTATCAGAAACCTTCCACAAGGCCCCAGTGCATGTAGCAGTAAGATGGTGCACTCAGTGTCTGACTGTCACAGGCTTTCCTAGGGCTTACTTTCAGACTCACTTTTGTGTGTATATGTGTGTGAGATGGAGTCTCACTCGGTCACCCAGGCTGGAGTGCAGTGGCGCGATCTCGGCTCACTGCAACCTCTACCTCCTGGGTTCAAGCAATTCTCTTGCCTCAGTCTCCCTAGTAGCTGGGATTATAGGCAGGCACCACCACGCCCAGCTAATTTTTGTATTTTTAGTAAAGATGGGGTTTCGCCATGTTGACCAGGCTGGTCTGGAACTCCTAACCTGAAGTGATCTGCCCACCTCGGCCTCCCAAAGTGCTGGGATTATAGCTGTGAGCCACTGTGCCCAGCCCAGACTCACTTCTTAGGCCCAGGCCAACCCGCTGTGCTCTCCTACTCAGCCTCTGCAGGAGGTCTCATTGTCTGAGGAGGTCCCAGGGCTACTGCCCTTGTTTTCCCAAAAGGCACATTTTCCCATGCAGACATAATTTCATTTCAATGTTTTACTCCTAGTCACATTCATCTATATGGAGAAACAGCTGAATGGATTGGACTGCATTTTCTAAGGATGGCCCCATGCCATCCTGCACACTCCTCCACAGTGTGGCCTGGGCATTCCTTTCATCCAGGGGTGGACTCTGTGCTCCTGCTTGTGATATGCGTGTCGCCAATATAATGTAGTAGAGGGAATAGCACCGACTTCTGAGGCAAGACTAGAAAAGGTGATGCAGGTTCTACCTTGTGTCCTGAGCCGCTAGGTAAAAAGTCCACCTACCCTGACACCACTATGCTGTGCAAACGACACAGGCAAACCACATCAAAGAGCCATGTGTGGGTTCCCCAGTTGGCTTCAGCCCAGGAGTCAAGGTGCCTTCAGATGGTTCTAGGCTCCCACCCCAACTTATGTCCCATCTTGAAGTCTTCCCAACTGAGGCACCAGCCCTGTGGAGCAGAGACAAGCCATTGCCAACTTGTCTTGTCCAGACTCCCCATCAGCAGAACACAGTGGTTGCTTCACGCCCCTATGTTTGGAGTGGTTTCTACGCAGCAATAGTAACCGCAAGAAATGAAGTTATAAAAATAGTAACAAACACTAGAAATTGCAAGATTTAAGGAATCACATGAACGCTCCAGGCATTGCCTCTGGTTTGTAATTATTAACTTTCTTCTGCATGATAAATAGAGCTTGGCTGGACTTTTTCCGTCTGCTTCCATTCCCCAAAATGGAGCATACCAAACAATAGCTTCTTTTCGAGCCCAACTTTAGCAAGAGTCATGAGCTCTAATCCCTTCATCCATAACTACTTCCGTCCAGGCATGTAGACCCCTTCGCACTCAGGGCTGAGTAGAAAACGCCTGTTGCAGACTGCAGTGGCATTTTGGAGAGCCACCCTCCCGGTACCTGAATCCGAAGTCCTTTTCCAGCTTTTCTCAGTTTTGTACCGTGCTCACTTCTGAGTGGAAGACAGAACCAGCCCGGTCTATTTTCATAAACTGCCCCCATAAGGCAGAAGTCCATACAGTACTAGAAACATAACCAAATCTATGTCAGCCTGCCACCACCTGCTGCCTGTCAACCGTGTGTGTCTGCAGGAGCTGCGTCCAGTCCTTCTTTGGAACTGGTTTCCAGGGACTCAGCCGGTTCTGAGTTTTCTGACTCATTGGAAGATTAAACTATTTTCAGACTTTCGAGCGCTCAGATTATTAAGAGATGTAGTTTTTTTGTTTGTTTGTTTGTTTTCTTTTCTTTTCTTTTTTTTTTTTTGGCATGCTTACTGATAGACCCTGTTCTCTAGAAAGTAATGTTCTTCTCGGAAAAGGTGAAGGATATTTTTCTCCCCCAAAAGTCATGGAAATGTTTGCCTTTATTTACTTCCAAATTAACAGAATCTCCAGCTTTTGCTTGACCCATTGGCACATTGGCAGTGTTAAGAATTTTTTCTTTTAGCAGTAATGAGGTGTTGAGGGTTTCTTTCTAACAATTTAGTGTATGCATTTAAATCAGATTTCTTATTGAGTAAATTGGGGCTAAGGTGTAGTGTGAAATTCTGCTACTGTTCCTTTCTCATTAGTTCACTTGATATCATGGAAAGATTTTCCATCTTAGCCTGGGAACTTATTTTGTCTAAACTCATTGGAAAGTAATTAACACTGAGATTCTTCTCTAATACATTCTATATGATAATAAAATCATACAAACATTTCTTTCTTTTTCTTTTTGACCTAGAAAAGATGTTCACAGCCCAGACATGGTGGCTCAAGCCTGTAATCCCAGCACACTGAGAGGCCGAGGTGGGCGGATCACATGAGGTCAGGAGTTCGAGGGCAGGGTAACCAACATGGTGAGACCCCATCTCTAGTAAAAACATAAAAATTAGCTGTGGCACATGCCTGTAATCCCAGCTACTCAGGAGGCTAAGGCAGGAGAATCACTTGAACCTGGGAGGTGGAGGTTGCAGTGAGCCGTGATCCTGCCACTGCACTCCAGCCTGGGCGACAGAGTGAGACTCTGTCTCAAAATAAATAAATAAATAAGAGATGTTCACAATATATTGTTAAGTGAAAAAAGTAGGTTACAGAACTTGCATAATATGAGCACATTTTGATAAAAATATACATATTTAGCAAAAAAGGATAAATGATGTTTATTAAAATATTTACATTGATTATTTCAACACAGAGGATGGTAGTTGATTTTACTTAACTTCTTCCCTCCTTTTTTTCAATTTGAACTTTCTATAATGAAGATTGTTTCTTTTTTTGTTTTTCTGGGATGGAGTTTTGCTCTTGTTGCCCAGGCTGGGGTGCAGTGGCGGGATCTTGGCTCACTGCAACCTCCGCCTCCCTGATTTAAGTGATTCTTCTGCCTCAGCCTCCCGAGTAGCTGGGAATACAGGCATGCGCCACCACACCCAGCTAATTTTTTGTATTTTTAGTAGAGACAGGGTTTCTCCATGTTGGTCAGGCTGGTCCTGAACTCCTGACTTTAGGTAATCTGCCTGCCTCAGCCTCCC